CCAATGTGACAAAGACAGATTCTTTCATTCATTATTAATTCAAAGGGACTGCTGATCTTGCAAAGTGGACACTCTCTGCTTCTCACATGAAGACTTTGTTTGTCCTCTTTCAGAATATAAATCCAGGTTCTCAGAAAAGACCTCGTTGGCTGTTTTACATATTTGGCATATGCATACTCTGATGCCTTGACAGACTGAACATTGGAGGGCCTTCAAGTGTTTTCAAACCCATCTGAAGACTGGAGAATCTCTGACTTTCTCCACTATTTGTTTGAGTGCAGAGAGATTTTAGAGTCCATGTTACATTTATAATATGCAGCTGTTGTTTTAGTGACATCTTGGCTTAGAAGTATGGAATGAAAACTTATCTAAGTGCAGTTCTTGACTTTTTTTGGCTGTAATTAAATTCTGGATCTTACTTGTGAGGGATTTTTAAGGAAGATCTGGAAATCAATCCTTTTTGTTGGCATTATTCATGGTTTATTTATTTCCAGTGCAGTTAATGAATGGAAAAAGAGAGAGGATAGGATATCACTTGCAGCTATTCTGCTTGTAGACCCATTTTAGTGGGGGTGAAGAAATTGGAAGAGAAAGGCTGATAGATTAAAAATAAAAATCTTTAGCATGTAATTGCAGAAAGAAGTGGTAGGGATTTAAGTCACAGAGGCTCAAATCCCTTGGGGACCACTTAAGAAGAATTACTGGAGTCATAGATTTTAGAGCCAGAAGGGATCAACAGATTGTTAGTTTGACCTACTGGGTAACATGCTCCATAGTATTTCATCCAGCTAATTTTGCTGCTAGCCTAGAGCTTGTCTTTTCTGAAGTCAGGTGAGCTTCATATGGAGGCTTAAGGTGATGAAGAACTCAATGCATGCTAACAGTTTGTCCTCTAGTAGTTCCTTCCTTGTTGCTCAAAATATGTTGATTCTATATTTAACTTTACTTTATATAGCTTCAACCTCCTTTTTCTTTTTGTTGTCGTTGCTGTTTTGTTAAGCTTTTTCTGCTCTATTAGAAGCCTTCATTACCTATTATTTTCATGATGTGAAAGATGCTTATGAACTGAAGAGTGTACGCTAGGTACAAAAGATGGATGAAACAAAGGGCATACTTCCAGACGGCAGTAATATGAGTGACTGGAAAGAAGAACATCTGTTGTCAAGAAAATTGCCTCATTCTAAAGTATAGTGTGTGTAGCTGGGCTTCTTTGCAGCTGATGGATTGCTGTTTCAGTTTGCTTGTAGGTATTGATGCCAGCATGCCAAGGGCACTGGCTCCCCTGTGGCTCGACACTGCAATATCAGAGTAAAGAGGGCTGCCCTGGAGACAACGTGATTCCAGCTCTTGGGACAGCTTTTGGCAATGGTGGCTGCCTATTTGGGATGTGATGCAAAGGGAGAAGGAGTGAATGTCAGACTGTGTGAGGCTGCAGTGAGTCAGCCCCTCCGAGAGGGCTGGAAGAAATGTATAGTCTGTATAGAGGAGCATTGGGCTGCCCTGAGCGGGAGGCGAGGAGTTCAGATTTCTGCAAATCCAATTCATCTGAAGTTCTTGGCAGTCAGGGGAGGAAACTTGCAGCAGAGTGCTCTGGTGTGTGTGGAGTGATGACTGTCAGGCTGCCTTCTGGGAAGGCAGGCCAATAAATGTGGTTACCATGTCCTGCAACAGCAGTCCTGAAGAGGGAGCATAAACTAATCCTAGTGTTCAGGGCAATATAAACTGCCTCCTTTGTGATGGAGTGAGCAGTGTAAAACTAATGGCTGAAGTATTGCACAGCCATTGACAGAAAAAAATTTATATATAGGTGTCTTTAATAACCAATGATTTTATCCCTTTTTGCCAAGAGAGAGAAATTTGATGCATCGATTAAAATTGTTCTTCCTGCAAGATTTTTTTGAGAAGTTCATCATCTTACAATCTTCATGCTGCTATTTATTCTTCTGTTACTTCTAAATACTGGATTTGTTCTTTTTGTGTCCAAGAACAAGGATCCTTCCTGTCTCTTGCTGCATTTTGGAGTTTCAAAATTCTTTCTCAGAATTTCTCTTCCTGTTGTTAATGATATTAATTCAGAGGATCTGACATTTCTCCCACAATTCTCTGTTACTGAGAAGTATTATCAGAGGTATCATAGGAGTATAATTGTGAGGTAAATATGGTTTTGTGGAAAAATAGCACAAGGTATTTTCAGGTGGTCACACAGGGGAATGTCATTAGCACTGTGTAATTTGCTTGGAATAGTCCGGCCTTGGAATGTGTGGCAGTATTTCACTGAATGAAAAATGATTGTTGCTTCAGCTGCAGCCATATCTATCTTCCTGGAAAACTTCCAGCTTCAAAGGGAAATCTGGTTGTACAAGTTTGAACTGTGTTTTTAGCTGCAACATCTTTTCTGTCTTCTGGTTATCCATTGGAAATGGTAATGAAAACATGGCACATGGTCCTTTCAGCCTCAGAGTAACCTATCTGTTTTTCAGGAAAGAAAAGTTCCTGAACCCGGAGGGTAATTCATTTCCTGATATCCTTTCAGATGTCAGTTGAAGGTATGCTTTGATGCATACTAATCTGTAGAGTAAAGCAAAAGGATGGCACCTACCAGGGCAATGTCAAAAAATAAATACACTTGTCTCCTAAGTAATGCCTTCACAACAACTGAATCATATGAAGCACAGACTGATTTAATGGGTTGAATAGTCAAGTTCTTAAATTTTTAGTTAACAAAACATGTTGTCATAGGAAAATCTTCAGAGAACTTAACATTGCTGCTTTACACATAGGAGAAAAAAAAAGACTGGTAATGGGAAAGACATATAACAAACATTTCCAAACTTTCAGAAAAGCAAGACGGAAAGTAAAAAAAAATGTATAAGAAAATGGACTTTCCTCATTTGTTTTTTCTTCATGGGCAAATGAGCTATAATAAACAGTGAAAATAAAGAAGTCCTAGCAATTGATGACCTCTCACCTTCACCCCATCGAAGCTGCTCTTTAAGGCATTTTTCATACTCATAGTTTGTTTATTGTTCCTCTGCTGCTTCCAAGTTGACCTTCAGGATCCCACTCAGAGTTTTGCAGGAAAAAAAATAGGGCAACAGAAACAAAAGAGTTATTAATTTAAATGATGGTTACAAAAATATGTGCAAAGTAATTATATCAGAGCTGTTCCTGTCTTGCTGAGATACAAATATTTTTATTGATGTTTTCCTCAGACCCTTTGGGAAATTATCAGACACATTGATATCCTTTGATAAGTTTCCCATGGCTTCTGTATTACCCTCCCAGTGTTCCAGGATGCCCTAATTAAATATGGAGATGAAGTGTAAATTATTTCATATAATAAAGCCTTTTCCAGGAGCATCTCATCCACTATGTGATTGAGTTTGGCTTGAAGAAAATACGCAATGGAAAGCAATTCACTTATGCTGTTTTTCTTCCTCTGGTAAAAGTAATTCCTGTGTCTATTGTTTGTATTCTATCTAGACAGCAAGAGCTGACAATGGAGTACTGAAAAGATACAAACAGAAAGAGATTAAAGGCAATTCTGTACCATAAGTGAATGTAGGTGTTTACAAAATGCAAGCATACTTATATTTCTATTCATAAACTTTCTGTTAGATCTATGAGGCAAAGGGTAACTTTAATCTTCCTGAATTTCAATTCTGTAGCTACACTATTCTTTATTATTTATTTACCTGTCACGTACAGTGATCACAGTTTTGTATACCTCAAATAACTTGAAGCCAACAGTCTTTGGTGATAGCATCAGTACCGGAGGTGAAATAATTTTTTCATGTATTTTTCCTGGCATCAAAGCATTCTGAAAAGACTGGTAAAAAGACCATCTGCATTTTAATTGTGTTAAACAGTATGAGCTCTGTGTCATGCTGACAACAAATTTTGTGCAATACAAATTTTGTTTAACCCCTAAGGCCAAGTGGAGGTTAAATGGTATTTACTTTTGATCCAAGTGCTAGTCATTTGATAAACACCTTTTGCCATACATGGCATAAAGGTGAATTAACTGTTGATCTTACTGGCATTGCGGTGTCAGAAGGCCTAGCCTACTATCACTTTCCTGCTTTGCATACTGGTTTTTTGCAATGCAACTCATTCTGATCAGACAACATGATTTTACTTCTCTGAAAGCCTTCTGTAATTTTCCTTTTTGTGTCTCCAGCCTGGGAATTCACATTGTTGAAGGATGCAATGTTGTAGAAGCCCATTTGACAGGTTTGCTTCATATCTGCTTTAGCAGCATACCTGCCACACCAAAAGTTTCAGTCTGAAACAGGTACTAAAATTTGTTTGCAGTAGATCTCTGTTGCTTAGCAGAACACACGACACTGGTCTTGCCAAGACTGTAAGCAAATGATACATGTTCTGCATTTTAAGGGTTTCAGTGACAACTGAAGTTTGTTAAGCAGAAAGGGGTAGCATGGAAACAGTTTTGGCTTGCTCTTAGCACCGCCATCAGAGAACACTTGCCATGGGAATGTTTGAACCAGTAGTGTTTTCGTGTAGCAATTATTTATCATTGTTTCTGTAGAATTAATTTCCATGGAAAATATGAGTCTTGCGGAAGTTAAATTTCAAAAAACGTGACCAAAAACTGAATTTTTGCATGAGAAATTTTGCCTCTGTCGAAGATGGAGTTCGGGCTCCTTATTCTCTTATTCTTGTCTGTTGCCTGAGCTTCACGGCGATGCCATTTGTCCCTTCTCACCTCGTCAAGAGCAGAAAAGGTTTGAGAGAGGGGACCCCGCTCATGGTGCAGAGCTTGGCTGGGGACCCTTCCCACGGAACAGCTCGCAAGTGTTCGGTCGATCAGACTTTTCGTACACACATACTCCTGCTTCTCTGGCAGGAAAAGCCCCATTTCCCCCAAAGCCGAGAGCTGCACGCATCCCTCCAGAAGGACGCCGAGGAGCGGGCGGCAGGATCCGAGGGCGGGGCCACCTCCCCTGCCGATGAGCGACAGCCCCGCGGACCAATCAGCGGCGGCGCAGCCGGCAATATTTGCATATGTTTGCGCGTTGCCGTGGGAACGGCGCGGGCGCGGTTCCGGGGTGCGGGTACGGCGGGACCGGGGGTGGGTGTGGGGGCCCTAAATGTGCCCCGCGCCGGGAAATGTGTGCCCGACTGTGCTGCTTAACTCTCTTCTTCCTTCCGTAAGGGGCAAACTGAGCCAAAGCACAACATCAGAGAAGCCCGGGTCTTGGGGACATGAGGGAATTTTGACCCGCCCTTTGGAGCGAAGGTAATGGGAGTTTAGGACGCTAAAAATGCGGTGCCTTCCACGGTCTCCTGCGCGTTGGATCTGAATAAGCCTGTGGACTTTTTTCAGGCAGTGGTTGGGTGAGGAGGCACTGTGGTTTTCCTTCTCTCCTGAAGTTCAAGCACCTCTTGTCCCTGGCAAGTAGACAAGGGCGGATCCTTGGGATCCTCAGCTCACAACCCAATTCTGCTAGTTTTCACCTCATTTCCCTATAAAACTGTAGTGATGGTACTGGTAACAGTCCTGGCCTGAAGGTCAGTCAGCCAAGGCTCAAACAGTGCAGTCCTGCGTGTTGCCCTCATCCCACTGTACCAGTGCCTGCTCTGAATGCCAGATGACTGAATTCCCACAGAGATAAAGGACCCAGTTATAAATAACTAGGTCTATCAACAACGATTTGGGTGACTTTCACCCCTCAGACCAGCCAGCTGGTAATAAATGCATGTGTAACAGTGCTTTCTGCAAGGATAGTGCATTTATTCTCTGGATTTTTTTTTTTTTTTTTTTTCTGCAGAGGTTTGCCTGGCAAAAAGTGTGTGAGCATTTACCAGGTCAGATGTTCTGGCTACCTAGTTCTGCACTTTTCCAGGGAAGTGGATAGAGTTAATTTATAGGTGTGTTTTAAGGACAGGAGAATACAACTGGAATAATCATGGCCAACCATTTGGATATTGAGAGCTAGAAATGTTATCTTTGTAAAAGGTAACTCTACCTGACACATAATTACTGATTCTTCTGTATAACGGAAGTTATCTCTTCCAGTTCTGTTCCTGGAAAATATGTGGTGCTCAACAATAATGAAAAGGTTTACTAAAAAGCCAGTTTGTTTTGCTTTATTTTGTTTTGTTCGGAAAGCGCAAGTGAAACAGAAAACTTTACTGTCATTTCCAAATGGTCTGCCTTAAAGCTTATTACAAAATTTATTTGTGAGGTACTGTCAGTGAACTGATTGCTCAAGTTACAAATTAACACCATTGCCTTCATAACAAATTTATATATTTTACTTAAATTTACTTTTCTATTTACCAAATTCCTTGGGGCAGTGATCTATTATAGGATGCACTGGTTTCTGACCAGGTGAAATTATGGTTACACAGTAAGGAGCTCAGACATACATATCACTTCCTTTAAGCCACATTGTCTGAGGATATTTCAGGCTTATATTCCATACCATATGTATTTCTATTGGCTCATGAAATTTAGTCCTGTTAACTAAAGATTTATAAAACAGAAAACAGGACTATATGGACAGATATGTAGAAAACAGCTGCAAATACAAAGTGGGAAAAAGATCATCATTAAACATAACAAATTATATAATCATCAGGACCGAGGGGTACCAGGTAAAACTTGACATTTTTCCACCATTTCCTCTCACACCAATTATAAATTACTGTTGATTTAATCTGGAGAGAAGAACAATAATGTAAAAGAGTGATGTTTTTTGAGATTTGTTACAAATAAGAACCTTAAAAATGAGTGATATAATGCTGTCAGGTATCTTGCTGGACATGATGGATGTTTTGATAACGCTCCTAGCATGCTGTTGTCTCTAACAGATTCAGTATGTGGCCATTTCTTTTTTGTAATACTGTGTCATGACTGTTCTGCAAAGTTTTAAGATGTGCTGTACTGTTCATGCATAATACAATGATGTCTTGTTAGGTGTACCAACATTTCACAAAATAATTGGGTTGTCCAGAGTTTTGTTTTTCTAGACATTTTCCAGTTTGGATAGTTTCATCTGCTTGTGTAGATTCCCTCTGATTCTTTTCTGCTGTTGTGGCTTTCTGTTCATCATTTAAGTTTCATATTTTAATTGCTGGTGTGTCTTGCTGGGGATACTAATTGCCATGGTAATCAGATTATCTGTTTGAATATCCTGTTCATAACAAAAGTAGCAAAAATCTTAGTTACAGAGTCATTTATCAGCTGGATCACTTTCTTTCTATTCAAAAATTATTACGGTTGATTTACACCATAAAAGATGAGAACATTTACCCTTACTGATTATTTTCTCCTGTGTAATGTAACTGTGTTACTGCAGATAATTGAAAAAAGTGTCTTTCCAATACTGAATCACTTTACACTTCAAGTGATAGGCTCTCAGCACATGTGCAGTGTCATCCTTCTACTGATTTCCACTGACTTGTGTCAATTTGTACAAGCTGACATGCCTGGCTTCTATTCTTTTGTTTCAAACAGGCTGAGAACCAATTATGAATTTATCCATCCACCTATTTTTTCTCCCTAACAATTAGCATACTTTCTTGAAGTAATTGCATAGTCATCATCAAAATCACTGGGAACCAGCCTGATTCTGTACATATAAGTTCCAGAAATGGAAATGTTGAACAGAGACATGACCTAGAAAGTACAAGTAGCTCACTTTGAGCTGTGTAAACTCGCTTGCTTCAATGCCTGCTTTTTCTCATACTCCTGTGCTGTGTGCAGGTTGAACATACCCAATCTATTCATTGTTTGATCCATATCCAATATGCCATTTATGATTTCCAGAGTGTTAGGTATCACAGATATACCTCATTAATTGAAGATTTTTAAGAATATGATGCATAAGTATCCCTAGTGTCACACATATCGGGAATATGTCTGTGCTGAGTTTTGCACAAGAGCAAGTGGGAAGGCAGAGTAGAATTTGTTTAAAATATGAGATGTGTGTTAAAGAATTAGGAGCCAAACAAAGGTAATCCTCACCCTGGTGAGTTGTGATGCATCACTAAGTAAAATACAAAAAGCAACAACTTTATTTGTAGAGCATAAAGGAGATCTGAGAGAGAATGGTGTTATTGGAGCAGGTCCAGGATTTTGAATGTTGAAAGTCTGAAAAATTACATTTTTTTACTAAAAATGTTTCATTTTTCCCATATATTTTAATTAGTAGGAATCATAATTCCTTTATGTAAAGGATTTCAGTCAAATCAAAGGAATTATTTCTTATGTTTGGGCAGAAGACATAGTAACATGAAAGAATTTATGTGTCACTATAAAAAGTCTCCAGCTTTCTCTGGTAACAGTGTCATCAACTGAAATCAAATAGAGCTAATTAAATAAAATAAATTTAATTACTGCATAATTATACATAGGGCCTTCTTAAATGCCAAGTATACAATGACTGCTGTTGATGTGATTTTTTGATTGATCCATAAAGTTTTAGGTAGGAAGATTATCAGATCCAAAGAAAGACATGGTTATTTTCACAGGTCAGAGGAAAATTACAAAAAACTTTGACTAGGGTGATTGTCTCATCACAAAAATCACCTTAAATGTATCTATAGAAAACCTCTGGGGTTTATATTTTTCTTTTCTTACATTGTAATGAACCCACAGCTCACAGACACAGACTTCTCTCTTGTGTACTTCATAGAAGTACATCTTTGAAGAAAGTTTCAGTTTTGTCTAACCAACACTTCAAACAATGGGAAAAATGTTCACTAGAAAATTCCCAGACAGTTCTACCCTGTTTGTATATGTCAGAAAACAGTGGCTTTTTAGCCTGGTATATTTGGGGTTGAGTGTTTTTGCCTTGTCTTGTAGCTGGCTGCATCCATGTTTAACGAAGGCGTAACCAACCAGCCTCTGGGCTGCAGATGGTATGGGGGAAAAGGTATTACTATATGTGCAGCTGATCCCCTAATGGAACAAGCTCCACACTTGGATGTTTCTGAGTGTGCATTACTCATAAAACATTTAAACCAGGCTGCTGCAATGTTAGATTTTACAGACTTACAAAGTCTTGAAGCTGCCAGAAGTGGGGGTGCATGCCAATACTTGTATGTTCAGAGATTGCAAATAGTTTTTTAAGATAGGAGGATGCATAAAAGTATGGATCATGCTCAGCTGTGACAAGATGAAGCATCCTGACATAAAAAACTATGGATTTCCTGCATCTCAGGGGTTTTTATTTAAGTTCAATCAAATAATAGATTATTCTTTTCACATGACTGAAGGAAATTATTAGTCTCTAGGACTAATCAAAGGAGACTCCTCCAGCAGAAACTGTGGAGAAAATGCAGTGCTGAACTGGAAAAATGTGAGGTTTTTAATGTGTGGTTAATTTGCTAAAAATATTGTTGGAAACATGAGAATGTTTTTTTTCCTTTTATCTTTCAGTGAAAAACAGATCCAACAGTAAGATGCTACAAATTGTCCAATATTTTAGTCCAGCTTATGTTTGAGTACTGTGTCTTAACAGATTTCTAAGATGATTTATAATTGAGTAATACAAAACAATATTTAGTACAAGAAAAGGTAAAGCTTAAGATGTTGGTTTAATTTAATTTGCTTTCCCTTAGAGAATAACAGGAAGCCTCATAGAAGACGTTTTATTTGGAAAGAGCCTGAAGCAAGGCTTTTTGGCACTCAGCACAGGATGTCAGTTTGGTCCTTTCTGACACCTCTTTTATATGTAAATATAATGAAAACCCAGTAGAGTGGAGAAAAAAGACTTACCTTCATCTTGACTGTAAAGTTAGGAATCAGCCTTAGAAAATCCTGCGACTGGCCTGATTTAGTATTAGGGTGCTAGAAAATCTAGATTAATTTCCTTCTTTTTCGGACTTGCTCTGTTATGCTTAGCAGATCACTTACTTCATCTCTCTCTTTCTGTATCTCTCATCCTGAGTTGTTGTTTAGACTGAGTTGTTGTTCTCCTTTGTCTTTATAGACAGTCCATCCCAGACTGAGAAACCAGGATATTTGGGTACTATTGTAGTGCGGGAAGTTTTGCTTGTTGCTTCTTATATAAAGCTATTTGACATATTTCAAATTTATGTAACAGTAAAGTTAGGTAATACAACTGAAAAACTTTTCCTTTAGAATACTTGCAAATTTAGTCCAATATATATGAATCATCCTTATTAATTGACCCACATAACAACTGTGATGTCACAAACAGAAAGCTTATGGCTCCAAGCAAGGCATGATGAACAGGCAGAATGAGTATACAACCTTAAGTGTAGTGTTGAAGAAAGGGAAAACAAAGGGAGAACTCAGAGTGAAGTGGGGCTTTGCTTAAACAAGGGTTTACACAGCCAAGAACTCTTGAATCCAAGATACTGAATTAACCAGTATTTTTTTGCAAGCTAAAATTAGTTTCTTCTTTTTTTGGCACTGACAGCATGATCTATAGCTAGGCTTCCACCAGGCTGTTTTACTCAGATGGCACCATTTTGGAGCAGTATGTTTTCCACTTCATTTAATGTATCTCTTATGCCTTTCATACTCTTCCTCGGGCAGATCAACCAATGCTGACCTTCTCATAACTCTGTTACAGGAGTCCTGATTTTGTAAGTACTCTCTAACTATAGATGAACTCTTCAAAGAGCCTCCTGGATTTAAGCCACTGTAACCTCAAGCAAGTACTTCATATAAATCCTTTTCATAGCTTTTTCAAGAACTGTTTTTAAAAAAAGTAGTAAAGGAATCAGTTGTTCCCAATTTTTATTTTGCTTGTTTATGGTCTTCTCTGGAAATTGTCTCTGCTTTTAGATGGAGTCAAACATAGTTAAGAGGGGTTTGGGGTTTGTTTTGGTTTGTTTTTTGACATGTATAAGCTTGAAAGCTGTGTGACCTTTGTTTTAGCTCTATTTTTATTTGCTGCAAGGATTTATCTCATTCCTTTCTGTGCTGGCAGATGAGAACAATGACAGTAAGCCAGCCATATAGTTTAAACAGAGTTTACAGTCTGTTACAGCTACACATGGAAAGTCTGTGATATCAGTCAGCATCCATAAACTGTACAAAATTGTCACAACTGTTCTTTTATTTTGTCCATTTAATAAGCATGGTTATGTCCTGGTAGTAGGAGGCTTCATACAATGTGTTCTTCCATAAGGTAATCTCTGTTTTTTTCAGCTGAGAGGTCTCAATGTGGAATTCTAGCTAAGTCAAAAGCAGTAGTGTTGAGAATTCATTGGAAACAGCCAGTTTAATTCCCCAGCTAACACAAGTATGTTTTCTTCAATTCAGTCAAGGAATCCAGGCTTATAAAATGACCTTATAATGGGTTTTGAGGAATTGTTTACATGAGAGAATCAAGAGAGATGAAAAACAGAGAGGGTCGCTCTTCAGAAATGGGCTGCATACAGGAAATAGGAAACGTATGTGTCAGCTTTGCTTCCAAGTTCCAACACTGACATAAAAGAAGACATAAAGAAGGCCATTTCAGGGAAGAAGTTTCCACTTACTTGTATAGGTTGAATCACACATGGCAGCTAAGAGCGGGCAGCATTAGTGAAGCATGGATAATAATGCTATTGCAATTTCTGGTTAGATGAAGCTCAAAAACAATGTGCAAGAGTTCCAGTTCCCTCTTCAGGACAAGAAGATTAGAGATGTACTGAGATATTTGCACTCTTGTCATTCTGTTCTATTTTGGTCAGAGTGAAGCTCTCAGCCTGGTGCTGAACTAGCCATAGTATTTCACTTGTTTTTAATTAAATTTAACTTCACTAGTTGTAAATGACCTATCACTGCAGTTCATGAGATTGTTTTTAAGTATTGTCCTCAGTGGAACTGCAGAGGAGAGAAATGTTTTCCCACAGCTATATGCAGTGATCAACTGTACCTTCCCACTTTATTGAAAAACATATCGCAACATTTTTAAAAGGAAAACATAAGGAACTTTTATGTTTTGAAATGTAAAATCACAGTCTGACTTACTTCCACAACTTTACCACTGAGCTCAAGAGAAAATTTGCACTGCTCATATTCCTTTTCATTTCACACTGAATTTATAGGAAGTTTCCAAATAATAACAATCAACTTGGCAGGAATAAATGTAGACCAAATGGTGTAATCCCCACAAGGAAACATAATTCTCTTATGAAGTATTTACAATAGCAAGCTTGGAAATCCAACAATAAGTTATATTGTTAATAGATTGTTTATAACATCTTTTATTGACTGATTCATTCCTAATGGCAACAGATTTAGTCACCTAACATTCTTCATGTGGCAGGCAGTTCAGTGTTCACTGTTGCTTTAAGAATCCTCTCAGGTAGCAGAAAGTTTCGGTCTGACATAAATCAATAAATAGGACATAAATAGGACCTTACAAAGTTCAGAAGTTCCCTGAAATGTAACTGAACTTTCTGATGCTCTCTTCCTGTGACCCGCCAATAACCCTTATCTCCCCTGCCTTCATGACCCTTTAATGTTTCCCTGGCTCTCCATTCCCTTCATCCTCCTAAAGAGCTTGGCTACTTCCCAACTTGGATTCATCCAACAGGCCACCCTCCTTGGAAACTGTCCCAGTCTTTGAAACAGCATTGCAGTACAGTAGCCTCAATACTAGTTTGCAGATTTAAATTTCACATACTGCTGAACCTGTTATTTTGATATCTGAACTAAAAATTCCAGCGCTACAGTTTTGTGTAACCTTCAACATACATTGTATGTGTACCTGATAGCTTGAGACATCAGAGGATACTAAATCCTTGTACATTACCGTATTTTTCCCCAAAGTGCAGTTATCTAATAGAGTTTTAGATGAGGTGTTAACTTCGAGTGCAAAGTCCCTCAAGAATATTATTTTTAACAGCTAAGTGCAACATATTTGTTCACAGAGATTCGTTCCAGTACAAATCACACATTGGGTCTGATGGTCTTCACATTTTCCAGTTTGCCTTACAAATAAATCTGAGCTTCACAGAAGATTTTTTTTTTTAAGTAAGAAAGTATCCCAGGAATATGTAGCTTTGTGAGTATTTAACCAAGCAGCGTCAATGCAGCAATCTAAACACTTTTTATGTGCCTGGCAAGAGGATGATTATGCACATGAACCTGTGTGATGACTTTTTTCACTATTGCCCATGTCCTTAAGACATCCCTTAGAATATTTATGAGAGACTAGAATGAGCTGAGTGCGTCTCTGTGGCACAGATAAAGTTTAAGTTTGTCATTTGAAAAACTGCATCATTTCCCTTGCGGATAGTAAAATTCAGCCCATGGGTTCAGAGGTGGGAGTGATAAGGGTGAAAAGGCTGTTGAGTGGAAACAAAGTCTTCCATGGTGACAACAATACAGCAGTAAAGAGCAGATCCAGGTTGGTTGGTTGCAGCTCAGAAAGTGAACCAAGACAGGTCAATGGAATCTCTGGATAAGTTTGTGAGTTAGAAACCCCCTAAAAATTTGGAAGGAATGAGATGAAGTTTGGAATATTCGGTAAGGACAAGGTGACCATTTAGCCAGCCATTTCTTCTATTACAGAAAAAGTAGACTGTCCTTGGCAGTTGCCTACCTATGCAATGTGCTAGCTACTTTTTTTTCTTGCAATAAAGCAGTAGCCTCTACCATACATGCGTATGGCCTGAATTTTATTTTCTGACCCTTAGAGGACCAGGTTAAAATATTATAAGAAATGAACTTTTAAGGGATACAGCATGGATTTATCTGTATACAGGGATAGACTGCACAGTGAAAAATTGAAATATGTTTAGTACTGTGTTGAGACTAAACAAATGCAGTGGCCTTACCTTCTCCTCATATTTCATGTGCTTCAGCCCCCAAAGCATGTCACTAGCTCTTACTAATAAACCTGCTCAATTTTATTAGTAGCTCTCCTGTACTGGGAGAATCAAGACTGGTTAGAGAATTTGAGCCACCACCTCACAAGTGCTGAATAAAGGGACCTAATAATTTCCTTCAACCTACAGACTGGAAACGTTTTCCTTTCTGACGGTCCCTTTGTAGATTGGACACTAACATCCCTCTGCTAAAGGACTTTTTCTTATTTCTCTGGAGAAAGGGAAATTATGTTTAACTATCAACATAAAAGGCTTATTTTTATAAAATTAAGGACTGTGCTAGAAATACCAGTTCTATCAATAACTCAAAATAAATCCTATTGAGTATACTCCAAACCACTTGCATTTCATCAGCTTCACTTTGTGCAAATCCATCTTCTTTCATGTCCTTCACGACTTTCTGTCCTCTGAGACTAGAATTTTAGATTTACTTTGTTCAACTGCGCGTTAAGGGTAAGGATGTATTTGATGTTATTTATCTGCTATTTAAAAGTACAAGAGTATTAAGGTTCCTTGTGGTAAACCACTGGTTGGTAACCTTAACAAGGAAGAAGACATTTATTAATATGTACTAATTTCATTTGTTTCAGGATCAGGTAAGAACAGAAGACAAACGGAAAACACACAGAAACCCCCCTTCTCTACTGAAACAGCTATTAGGTGTAGTGTTCCAGCTTTGAAGTCCCTAATATATGTTGGCTCATGAAAATGGATTAAGAAGATGTAGAATCATTCTGAATAGCAGACTTTCCCAAGACCTTTATGTGCAGGAGAGGGAGAAATTTCCCAAAATGTCATACCCTTCATGGAAACAAATGCCAGGAAAAAGAATGTGAACAAAACTTGTAGTGCTCTGTCAAGTCCTGGAAAAGCCCCTACTAGTATCTCTAGTACCTTGTCCTCAGAGCATCATCTGGCACCATCTAACAAGGAGATCTTCCCAGACATTTTCCCAAAGTAGTACATCTAGAAGCTGGACCCCAGTAAAGGTGACCAGGCACTGCAATAGCATCAAAACTGTCAGATTTTTCAAACATGTCTCAAACGCCCTTCCCACCAAGGAGACCTGGCTTGAAGGTATGCTATATCTGTGGCAGAGAATTTGGGTCACAGTCTATTTCTATACATGAATCCCAGTGCCTAAAGAAGTGGCATATTGAAAACGATCAACTACCAAAGCACCTTAGAAGACCAGAGCCCAGGAAACCTGAGGTCCTTCCTGGTGGTTCCTATACACTTACAGATGAAAATGAGGCAGCTTATCAGAGTGCTCAAGCTCAGCTCGTGCCCTGTGGAAACTGTGGCCGAACCTTTTTTCCTGAGCGTCTTCCTGTGCATGAAAGGTGTTGCAGAGGAGGTAGCAGCGCTCATAAATCTGGTAAAGGACCAAGATCTGGAGCTGGCTCAGAAAGATATGATCAGTCTGAGAACCATCAAGGAATGAGTGGGGCTGCATCAGCTGCGCAGGTAAATTGCTAAGCATGTGCTGTATGAAAGGGTGTGGATGCATCTTGATGCTTGGATCTCCAGGGGAGACTGGTTTCCCATCAAATTTAAAATCACTTCCTTTCAGAAAGACCTTTTGGCTCCATGAAAAAGTTTATCTGCTGAATAGTAGAAAAAGAAAAGTGGAATACTTGGTGCATGGGGAAACTACTTATTCTTATTTGTTTCAACTTTCTTTTTGAAAGGGAGTAGTTGGGTTCTCCTTCTTTGTGGTCCTGTAAGAGTTATGCCCCAAGAGGGACCATTGTTTGCTATAGCTCCCTAGACAATTCTATTGAGTAGCTTAGGCAAGGTTTGGATGTTATTTTTTTAGCAGATATTAGGTATTTTTATTTAATTAACATGAAAAGCAGTGTTTCATTGTCCCGTAAGCACTCCAAAATATGATTTTCATATTTTACCATTTTTCTTAACCTTGGCATGGAACACGAGTTTACTGAGGACTGCATGTTCAAAGGCAGCAGCTCTGGGTCTAACAACAACAAAATAAGTAGGACTGCACATTTCTTTCCACTGAATTTTATTCAAGATCCAAGAATAAAGAAGCTGATTCACATTATCCAAAAACTATACAGAGTTTTGGAAAATGGCTTATTTTTTTCTGCATTTTTTTCTGCACAAGCTGTCTTTTGGCCAGGAGTTTTGTAAGATAGTTGTCTAAATTTAGGCCCAGTGTCTAAATTAAACAGCTCTTTTTATTTTTTTTTTTAAATGGGGATTGAAATCCTGTTTGCCTACCTTACTTTTGAAAATGAGATTTAGCTCTTTCAGTCACCAAAGGAATGCAATGGTATGCAGAGCATTTCTAAAGATGCTTTAGAAATCAAAGGGTGTTACCTGTTAGTTTACCAGCTGCTGAATAAAATAAAGATAATAGCATTACCCTAGCTTACATGAGACTAAGACAACAGGAACCATTTTTTTATTATGCTATATGAGGCCACTAACTGATAGATACTGGCAAATTAAGGTTCACTCCTTAGGTCTTCTATCAGCAAATTTCAAATAATTCCAAGGAGTTCAAAGTGCTGCACAGCTGCATCTATAGCTGTAGGAAGGGTGATGTTCTTGTTTTACACTACATTGTACCCTTTACCAAAGAACTGGCTTTGCTCTAAAGGTGATTGTTCAGTGAAAGGCATGGGTGTGAAACAGAGAATTTAATCCATCGCACATAATTCTGTAGTTTAAAAAAAAAAAAGGGCGTGGGGGAATTGGCTATAGTTATAATGCCATCAAAAAGAAAAAAAAGAAAAAAGTTTAGAATGTGGTTTGGCAATGACAGTGATTCTGTAAAAACATTACCCTCTTGCAAAACATATCTGCTCCCTGTGTGGATTCAGTCACATCTGCTGACTTGTTGAACAACAACATTATTACCACTTTTTAGTTCTGCGAGCTCTGCAGAGCCAGAGTGAAATCTGTTCAAATCTGTTCTTCCTTCTGTGTGAACGACAGGTTTCCTCATTTACTTCCAAGCAGTTACAGTTCATCAGTTGCAACAGAACTAATGAGGCTGTACAGCTTGCAGTTTGTAATAGACTCTAAGGGACTTTATTATTAACTATGACTTTCAAGAAGGGGGTGATGGATTTTACCTCTCTGAGGTCTTTCATTTTAATATTTTTAGAGCTGTTCTTTTGTGCAGAGGCTCACCTTAAAGGCAGAGAGCAGAACAGAAAGACTGAAAGAAATATCCTGTGATCCAAGTGGTTCTTCAGGACTGGTAGACAGCTTATAGGAAGTGGTCAAAAGAAGCCTCTTTTCCATAGGTTTAAATTCTCTGCATGAGGCTCTCTATTTACAGTTGAAAATTTTGAAAGGTCCACAGATGGAAGGATGTGGAAAAGCACTAAGCTTATGGAAGAACTGCAGATTTGCTATGAACAGGGACAAGGTCTGTGTCCCCTCTACAGTCTTCATCTTTTTCCAACATATGTTTTTAGTTTTGTTCACCTCACCAGCTCCTCAGCTACTTATAAGTTCTGTTAAAAAATAGTACTCCATTAGTGCTGGAGTGAAATGGCAATATGTTTTGGTCCTGTCTGGAAAGCATTTGGGGCAGCTATTGTCTCATTTAACAGACTTACTTGCTGTGATCGTGAATTATTTAAGTACTTATTTAAAGTCCTGATTCATCAAAACATCAGAGGAAAAGACTAACTGAAAAAAACATCCAACCCTTGTATAAGTGTATTTAAGAGAAGTAATGCTGCAGTCAAATTAATTTATGCAATGAAAGATGCCCTAAATGAAAAAGCTGGATTTTCTTCATTTACAAAATAAAAGTTTTGACTGATTTAGTAGTACACCATGTGAAGGGCACTTTAACTTTACAACTGCAAGCACTTTTGTCTGTGTACCTCTGTCCTGGAGCTCCCTCCCCTTTAGCAAGTGAAGGGCCAACTAGACCAGTATCATTACTGACAAACTCTTTCACAGTTCTGCGTTAAATGTCTTTAGAACTGGAGGCACAACAGTCTCTGTAAACCATCTCTTCCACTTACTGCCCTTGCTCTCAGAATCGGTGAACACATCTGAGTTGATCGTGTGTGGCTTTGTAAACCAAACCACTGCCTATGCTTAAAGACTCAGAAATTCTACTGTGATACCCCGAAAAATAGAAGTGATGTCTGGAGCTACTGAAACTGAGATTTGAACTATAACAGAGTCTGTGTTTTATTCTTTCATAGAAAAAAATGTGTGGTACGTGTAAGTGAGCACCAGTGACTTGCTGTGTGTATATGAGTTACGGGTTTTTTGACAATAGATAACGCTGATCTTGGAAGCCTATTGATGTATCGCTAGCATCTGGTGCTGCCATCTGCTGTTTTCTTCTTATCAGGTGAACTACCTAAAAAGATTTCACTGATCTTCCTTTGCTGTATTGCAATGCATTTTAACACAACATAAACCTTGAAAATTCATGTAGCAACAATGTTGATGTTGTATTTTGCTCTAGCATAAAGCCGTCTAGGCATTTGGTAAAAGGAAGACTCCTTCAGATGCTGTGTAATTCTAATGAAGGTGGAAAGTCAATGAAAAGCTTTGTGTGCCTTGATTGCAGTGGTTTTGAACACCTTTTTAGGAGAATACTGACCAACAAATTTTCAAATATGAAAAGTTAGTTGAGAATGGATAGTGAACAGATGGTTTGATTGCAACTTATCACTGGGAGTGATTGAGTTTCTTGCCTTTCTTTTTGTACACAAAAGCCATGTTCATTATGCTGATGTATTTCAATTAAAATAAAACACATCAGGAGCAAAATGGGATATTCTAGTGCTCCCAGTGTAGTAAAATCTTTAATTACCAGCATCATCTGGCAAAATTACCTTGTTTTTCAAAGAAATTTTATACACAGGCATATAGGACACCAGTCCTAACATTTGAGCTGTTGTGTTGTGGCTGAAAGTGCTCCAGTGGGGTGTGAAATGCAACTTTGGATAGTCATGAGCCCCATGCCACAGCTTGTCCCTGTTCCTTACGCAAAATGCTTTCTACTTTCCAGAGAGGAGTGTATGAAAAGGGCTGCTTTCATACAACAGAATGGTGCTGCTAAATGTTTGCATCAATCTCGTCTTGAGCCTCTGTTCCCTGGGCAACTCAAGTCTATGATGAGAGCTCTGTCCTAGAGCAAGATGCTTCCCCATTTCCCATTAAAATACGTGGATAACTAAACAAATAGGAGAGGCAGAGGTGTGTGCAGTCCTGGATGATAAATATTTATGTAGTGGAGTTTGGGAGACAGTCTTATTGTGTGTACTTAAGAAGAAATTAAAAGCTTTGTGCAGTATGGAAGGATTTGACCTCATGTAACACCATAACAAGCAGCCTGGGGCTAACCTCAAGTAATGTCAGGTCTATTGAAAATACATAGTTGCATAGCCCTCTGAGCTAAATAACTTCATTCATGGTCACGCAGACATACTTAGCAGTCTAGGAGAAAAAAAGAAAATACTGAGACACCAGAGGAAAGCCTAACTACACTGTTAGGTATTTGTAGGTATTTTTATAATAACACATATCCTCAGGAACAGACCTTCCCTACAACCCTTTTTAAAAGTTAAAAACAAAGCAGTGAGCAGACAGCCTAGCCACTGGCCTGTGAGTAGTTTGGGTTGGAAAATTGTGGTGTTTCCAAAAATAGTTTCATTTCAAACTGCAGGCCTCCAGATGTGACATTTGGGATAAGCACACTCTGAAGAGAAAAAGAAATGAAGGGTAAATATCATCAGCTGTAGAAATTCCAAGTAAAGCTTATCATATCTTGGATTCCACAGTTAAAAAATGAAAAACCTGTTACTACCAATTGTAAGGCTAATCTCCTTCAGGTTTTATTTTTCATGTTTTTACCATGTGTGCAGAGAAGGATTTGTGAGTATAATTTTATGTGTGGTGATGATTCAAACTCACTATTTTTCTGGAAAAAAAAATAATTCTATCCTTAGAGTGACCTGATTCCTTTTAATTAATTCTGGTCTCTGCTATTGTTTCTGTACAGTTTTTTATTGTGGAAGTTACAAAAGACAGACATATCTACTTGAACAGAGTTCTACAACATTTGTACCAGGATTCCTTTTTCCCTTTCTGGTGGTATATAAAGAGTACCTACAGACCGAATGCAAATCAAATTGCTCTTTCCTAGTTTTCAGCCAATAGATAACCTATTTTAGTGAATGGCAGGAACCTAGCTAATAACACTAGTGAGGAAAATGTGTTCCCAGTGATTTTACACATAGCATTTTTTAAGGAAACCATTTCTAAAATGCTGTAACATGCCCAAAACAGGAATGCACAATGAATTGAGTCCCCTGACCTCAAGAATTCAGATTATAGTATCCTTATCTAAACCTCTCCAGAGCCTACAAATAAACACATAGTGCCATCAAACAACTCTATCTGGACCCAGAGTCTTACCTCCAAATCAGACAAGATTTAGCTCAAGACTTGAAGCAAAGAAGTAGGTGAAAACTGATGGTGAAAAATCAGAAGGTGTTCTTACAATAGCTGTTGATATATTCACCTACAAATAGGAGAAGGATATGTTTTTATATTTATTAGAAAATATACATGTATAAATACTGTGTTATCAAAGGTAGCTAAGAAAATTCCATTTGAAAGTCAAGAGGCTGAAAATCTCCTTGGAGAGACTGTCTTTGGATGTTGTGTTTCAAGTCACTGTGAGAACTTTCTAGATTAAGTCCACCTTTTCCCAGCAAAAATACACTTTATAGAGTAGTATTCTTGTAATTGAGATTACATGTGTGATACAGGAAAGCAAGCTTATGCAGATTGTTCACTAATGACATTTTCAGACTGTAACGTAAATGTGAGAAGAAATGCCCAGAATTTCTTGAACACACTGATGGGCTGACAGAGTCATAAATACTGGAACAGGTTACTCTTTGTCTCAAACAGCAGCAGAGGAAAAAATTAAATCCCCACCTCCCTTGTTTGAGTGAGAAAGGCTTCCCATGTTTGGTCTGGCATGGCTGTCCTCTAAGTTTAGGAGGGCAGGGGATAGCTCATCTCTTACTGGTATTCTGCAGTCAGAAGTGTAGGAAGCACTGGCAGTTGTGAGACCCATCTGTGTGCCTCCAAGTTCTGTCTCTACAGTGTGTTTTTACTCTACTTCCTGGAACAGGGCTGGTATTGACACCACACCTAGTCCGGGACATGCCTAAGGACACAGCCGAGTCCATAATCTGCCGTACCACAGTAATTATACATTTTTCAGCCTTAGAATATGTATTTGTGAGGTCTGGGGCTGAGGAATCTTTTTCTTCCATTGTTGGGCTGTTTTTTTTCTGAGAACAATAGCATATTTGAAGTGTGAAAACAATAACTTGCTTAGAGTCCAGTTCTGCACTCGGTACAGTCACTGGCAAAGTTCACACTGAGGCCTTCGGGATAAACAAACAGCAGTTCCTATTTTGCCCCTCATCCTGAAATATCCTGGGTTGATTTTAATCCTTAAAGGCCAAGAATTCCATCAACTAACTGACCTGTGGCAAAAGTAACATAGGGTAAGGGACCACAGTCACTGCTTGGGACAGCTGCCCTCATTGTCCCACTTTAGAGAGACACTAAGGCTGGACACAGTGGTTTGAGCTGTGTTCTGCCAGAAGATGGAGTCTTTCTGTTACTGCGGCTCTGTTCAGCTGAGGAAGCTTTTGTTGCTGCTTTACATGTTACTTCTGCTTGGTCTGTAAAAAAGGGCTTCAACCATTTAAGATGGATGCTGCTCCTCAGCAACTTGATGAAGCAGAGTTGTTTCTGCATGTGAAGACTGAGCATTTCCATGAATTTGAAGGTGTGAAAATAGGAGATGAAACTTACATAGCTAAGTATTAGTCACACACATGAATTTTCAGTCCAGTATCTGCAGAATGAACCCACCTGTTAATGGGGCGATATCTCTTACAAGCTTCAAGACTGAATCCAAACAAAATGAAATTGATAGAAACGGTTACACTGATTTCACAAGTATCAAGTTCTTTATCTACATGACTGTTTTCATCCACAGTTATTCTGATTCAAAATTAATGTTGAAAACAGTATTTATTCTTCTTCACCATTGTTACTTGCAGGCAAAAGTGATAAAACGACCACCAACAGTGATTTGTTACATATGTGGTCGTGAGTATGGAACAAAATCTATTAGTATTCATGAACCACAATGCCTGAAAAAATGGCACCAGGAGAATGACAACCTACCCAAGCACTTGAGAAGGCCAGAACCTAAAAAGCCTGAAGTAAGAATTGTGCAAGGTAAGATACATACTAAATTAAGATATGGGATGAAGAAAGTGGGAGGAACAAAAAAAAAAAAAGAAAAAGTAATTTAAAGTAGTAGATAAACAGTTTGCAAGAACTGCTTTCTTCAGTTTGTTTTAAGCTTTTTATTAAGTATCCAGCTGTTCTGTAAAGTATCCATGAGAAGTAAGAGTAGTCACTGACTCTGGAACATGGCTTCTGGGGCAGTCTCCTTTATGTGTCAGTATGTTCTGAATCAAAACACTACATCACTACTTTTTGACTCCTTTCAACACTGTAGATAGGTATGTTTTGAAATAAGCAAAAACACCCAAGAATAATGTGCAGACTTGACACATACAGTCATTAAAATAAAATACTCTCAGGCAACATAGGTATAGATGCTTCAGCTATGTTCTTCTACAGTCAGCATACAGTGGATGTTATTGTTCCCTTTTATTTAAAAGTATTAGAAGCTTTCATTGTGAGATATTATAATATAGACACGGTGAAGAAAAAATACAGGTAGTAAAAAAAAAAAAAATTAATTCTGCCAATTTGGCATGTTTGTGTTGTGGATTCTGTTTTGTAAGATTCCACTTCTTCGAATCAACAAACACTGATGATCCCCAGCACCCACAGAGACAGGCTCTGGTATGTATTCCAGGGGGGATGTGCTCACTGTAGGACCAAAACCAAATCCTTATCTGTGCATTGCCTGGAAGCTGTTCCCAGGACTTCCCTATTCCCATGTAAAGTTATTTCACCTTTTCTTCTGGATGCTTTTCCTGGCTCTGCCAGCTGGTCTGAGCTACTTTGGGCCAAGTTTGGACCACTTCCTCACAGGCGTTTAATCCACACATGCTTTTTTTTATATTCCCCATAATTTCCCTCAGCTTCCCCTAATGTCTGGAAAAGTAGACAAAGTCTGCTACAACTCACTGTGAACGAGTCATACACTAGGTCAGTTTACAGCAGTATAAAGAAATATGTCCTCAGAAGACACACAGAGGAGAGCAGGATCACGAAGAACACTAAACAGCTGTTCAAAATAATAATCAAAGATCAAATAATAATAAATCAGAACTTGGTTAACAGATGCCAAGTGGCAGAGTTGAATCTGCAGTAAAAGATATGTTCAAAAGATGTTTTCATTGTATTTGCTCTTTAAGATGTTAAACACTTTTTAGTTATTACACGTTTTGGGGTAAAACAGATTGGAGAAAATGAGAATTCCATGTGAAAGAGAAGGATGCAAAAGGACAAATCTGGTTGGTTTTTTTTTAAATACACTATTCTTATTTTGAAGGAGTGGAAGCAGAAAGACAGCAACTCTTTGAGAAAACAGTCTAGCAGAAAGCTCCCAGATATGAATCAGAAAGTTGTCTTATGCAGTGAGTCATATCAGGCGCCTCTCATCTCCTGTGAAGTGTTGTGTGCCCATGGTTCCCCAGGGGACATTGACCTGCTTCCAGCATATGTCCCCAAATGCCTGCTGATGCAAGCCTGATCAGTTCTGTACCTTGAGCTAAAATTGTTGTTCCCCCTGCAGTTGCCTCATACTTCTGGCCTCAAGAAAATAATCTCAGTGTTGTTCTTTTTCCGTAAGAGTTACTCTCGATCATCTGGTAAATGCTATAACTGACCTTGAGACCACATGCATGTACTGCATGTCTCACAGTTTCTCAGCTCAGGGAGAAGGGATTACCCCTGTTGTTGAATGAAACAAATGTTGTTGAATGTTCAAAAAAAGCTCAGAAATATTAACTGCTTACATAAAACTTTTTATAACTTACATAAATCTTTTTCTGAAAACTGAAGTGTCACGAGAAGACAACCACTGCCCTCATTACACAGTGTTTTGTTTATGGAATGCCTAACACATGCCTGCAAGGAGAAAGTCATCTCTCTTTCTCCCCCCCTTTTTTTTTGTATTCCATAAACTCACCAAAGTACAGAAAATACACATTCATTTCCTGCAAGCAAAGGGGATATTTGTCTCAGCCAAGAAAAGAAACACTACTTGGTTGCTCTTCTAACAAAAAGAACATTAGGAACAGGCATATTAAGAGATCTAAGGCTTATTGTGGTTATGTGAACCACTGGATATGAATCATATTAAAATTGTATGGGCCTTTAATGAAGGGCTCTATCATGTGCCAGTGACAGAAACCATGGAATTTTTTTTAAATGCACAAATGCCTTTCTTTTAAAAATTGTCCACTGCTAAAAGTTCAAAGCAAAAACCAGATTTTTAAATCTTTCTCTATATTGTCATACTATTTGAGAAGGGTGAAGCAAGTACATCTTCAAGCCATGTGGATTTTTTTCTGCATGTACTTCAAATGAAAACTCTTAAGAACTAAATCCAGGTATTAAGCAACCTGCCTGGCCTTTTTGCAAATCAGTTTGAGACAATAGTATGTGAAAAGAAAAGTCAATTTCAAGATGAAAGTAAACAAGATTTTTTTTATACCCAAATAAAATCTTGAAAATACATCTGAGTGTTTGAAGAATGCTCCCGTGTTTTCGAAGCAGTCATTCTTCCCACAGTGGAAAATAACTGAGGGTAAGACTGGATTAGTGTTTAGATCACAATAGATGCATCAGTGCAATGACCTCACAGGAAGTTGTGGCTTAAAAGTACTGTAGGTTTTGTCTGTAAGGTTTTGGCCTTATCTAAGATTTACTCCAATTTTTAGCAAAACTTGCATAAACTTCAATGGGAAGAAAATTGAGCCCCTTGTCCAGAACAGTGCAAAAAACATATTCTCAAATATGATACATTCCCGCCCATAGCCATGGTCAGATAACACATGCTCATTAAACAGAACTTGAAATGAAGCCAAAAAGTGAATTTGCTGATAATAGTATGTGTGTAAAGATGTTAGTAATTAACTTAGAATGCACATCATAACACACAGCATGATGTTTTCTCTGTACTCTCATACAATACAAAATTATTCAGTTTGAAGTTAATTTAATTCAACCCCTGGGACAAAAAACAGAGTTTTTTTATGTATTTTTTACTCTTTTGCTTCTTTCTTTTCTTTTTCATTTGCAAAAGCAATATGGTTTGGTTAAACTGAAAGGCTCAGTCAACAGGTATTTCCTGAAAATATTTTCCATAAAGAGTTGAATGTGGGTCTCCAGAATGAAAGCTGATACTTTCTTTTTCTAATTTTCCAGCCAAAGGTTTCTATGATCTTGATTCTTTAAATGAGGCAGCCTGGAGCAGCGCCCAGACCCAGCTAGTTCCATGTGATATTTGTGGGCGTACTTTTCTTCCAGACAGACTGATCGTCCACCAGAGGTCCTGTAAACCAAAACCTGCAAAGTGAAGTGGATGTAACACACATACATACAAATACATGCCTGCTAACACACAAACACGCATCAATAAAATGTGTGTGTGTGTGTGTGTGTGCATGAAGGCACACACATGCACCCATACCTTTCAGACAAACCACCAGAGAAATAAAATTCAGCTGAGAGGCGTGACCATCAAAACTGTAGTGTGTAATCATATCATGTGCTCCAGAAATCTCTAGAGTAAAAATCAGCAGTTGCTACCAAAGGATAAGATCAAATACAGAAAATTATTTCCTTGATAATTTTGTTTCCCCTCTACCAAAGACTTCTCCAGTTAGTGTAAGGAACTGTAGCTGAACTTGACTAATCAGAGAAACCAAGTAGCTCCTTTAATTAAGTTTGTTCATTTTTGTTAAAGTTTTGGGGTTTTATGGGAGCCAGGGGGTGTCTTTGTCCATTTTCAGCACAAGACTATTCAAGGACTCCCACTCAGAACTTAAATCCAAGGAGCACTCCAGGGTTCATATCCTTGTGTGACAGTGCATCGTGAAGACCTTGACTGCTACAAGTGAAACATTCCCATATAAAGGGACCCAGTCATGGGCCATAGAAGCAGAAATTGGCTGCTTTTAGAATAGACCCCAGAAGTGCCCTCTTCTTGGAGCATTTCATGCTTAAGAATGATGCTGACCATTTGATTTATCCTCAGCTCAGTAAACTGATCATGCCAAAAATATTATAAGTCAGAGAAGCATATCTTTGTCATGACCATTGTAAAAGGAAACATATTTTTATGTCAAGATAAAACATGCATAGTGTCTCAGATGGTTGGCATAAAATACCACCCTGCCCTCTGTACAAAATGTGGCCATAACGGAGTGCCAGTATTGGCAAGAAGGGTAGGTATACTACAATAAAGCTGTGGGGAAGGTGTTTGATGGTGCTATTTTGTTATGTAGAAGAATCAGTGCCAAAACACATCAATGAATAGGCTAAAAACATAGAAGAAGTAAGACTCACTTTTACAAGGTACAGCAGAGAGCAATTATTATTATTTTACTTACTCTGTAGCATTTTATTAAGTGGTGAGGTTATTCAAAAGGTATGACAAAATCCAGTACAAGTTGTGGAACAGCAATCTATGCTTCCTGATATTATAAAAGAAACTGTATATCATGTATGTTTTTGTCTGCAGGCTTAAGGCCCGTAATTGTCTGTTATGTATTTTGTGATCAGTGTGACTTTTCTCAGAGCATTCACACTTACTATTGTACTTAAAAATCAGATGAAGTGGATGCCTTCATACACACTAAAATGAAATATGGGTACCAGCAACTTTTCTTTTCCAAGCTATCAAGCTGTGTGATTTGTGGAATAAGTAAAATAAGAAGTAATATCATTGTTCTGTTATTAGAGAAATGCTCCTGGCTCCAGCCCTGGCGGTCTGTTAATTCAGATTGGAGTGGTATCAGCATTCTTTGGTGAAAATAATTTCCAAAACAATCAATGGTACCTCAGCAGCCCTTTCATCTTCAGAATGAGGATTGTATAGTCTGAAGATAGATATCTTCAGGAGTCAAAGGTTCAGTTTCTGTTCTACAGAACAAAGCTGTATAAACCCTGCAGATCTGTCCTTGCTAGTGTCTCCAGCCATGAGAGGTGCTGGCAGAGCTGGACCAGTGCCATCTCTCCTCCTTTTGGCTGGGAGAAGGCATGTGGCCTGAGGAAAGAAGAGCTAGGGCACTGGTTTGTGATTGTTAAACTGGCTCCTTGGAGCTGTTGGCAGGCAACATACACCATGAGACCCTGAAGCTGTTCTAAGTCTGGCCTACCAACTGCTGGCCTGCTGACAAGTGGTTTGGTAACTGGAGGATTATGGGCGTCATCCAATCTCACCTTTATGTCCCCTCTTCCACTTCTTGGAACCCACTTTCATTTCTCAGACATGATAAGCATTTTTTGGCTACATCTCCCTCAGTGGGTCATCAAAGTTCACTAGAGTCACTTCAAGAGAAAAAGCATGTTTTAAAGAAACTAAGCCTTTGCAGAGTCACTGCAGTCCTTGGCATTAAAAATTTAGCTCTTCCTTTTGGTGGGATTCAGATGTCAGAGTCTGTGTCATTCTAAAAGTTGAACTCAGTGATGATTTTAAATCTGTCAGAAATTTCACCCAGAACAGTTTTTTCTGTGTTTCATTGTCAGCTCTACATGTGTATGTTTTTTATTTTCTAGAATTTTATCCCAGAAAGTGATAAAATCTGCCTGATGAGCTGAGCTGAATATTTATAAACAACAGAGAAAGTACCAATATTAACTGTACTTTTAATGCGCTGTTGTTACCCAGAAATACCATTGTATGGGAGCTTCTGAAACCATAAGCCTGGAGTATGGTTTCCAGGTCAGCTTTTACAAAAGTCAAATGAGGAATTGGTAAATTAAGAGCTGTCTCTGCTAATACATGATTGCTGCTGAGCTCTGAATTTAACATGGGATTTGAGAAATGATGAGTCAAGTTAGCACTGGGCTGTGAGGGCTGATGGTGAGACAGGAGCACGCAAAAACTCAGGAGGAGGCAACAGCCCTCAGAAGGATCTCAAAGATTGTACAGTCCTCTTCCCTCCACAAGTTCGTGGGTACAATGATTTCCAAAATATGTAGAAATATAAAAAGCACTGACATAGAAGTGCATATTGTTCCATTTCAAAGACTCTCACTCACATCCCTAGGTTACTCTGTCACAAGCTTCTCTGCTGAGCTCACCAGCCCCAGTGTTAGTTTGTGCCAATGATGATGGTGAGTTCTATTGCAAACTTTGTTCACTGGGAGAAGCACTGATAGTACCTTCGTGGTTTGCTCTCAACATAGTTAAAATGAGATCTTATGAGCATTTTTCATTATTGCTTGGCATGTATCATTCGGACTTTTTTGCAGGAGAGGAAAAGGAAATGAGAAATTGAGCTACATTGCCTCCTTTGTTTCCGTACTTGAGTGATTTGTCACTTTAACCTTATCTCATCCACTGTTGGCTCAATGTTATTTCCAGCTGAATCCCATGTTTCCTACTGCCACAACACATTTAAAGAGCTGAAAAATGTCTTCCGGTACTTCAAAACCAATGATATTCCATCTAGTTTGCCACAAATGTGCTGATAGCAGCCAGAACTATTCCTGGACAAAATATACAGAAAGTGAGAACATGGATTGACAAGAAAAGTTCGATCACATTAAACAAATTACCATGCAGTTTGAGATTATAAATAAAAGCCTCGACTCATCTTTTAGTTCAGCCATTTAGTTCAGTTCCAAATAAAAAATGGGATATTTTATAAAAGCAATTCTGAAGATTGTAGTCAGTTTAACTGCAGACATCAAAGAACCCGTACCTGCAGAAAAGTATTATGTGTAAAGTTGAAAGTCACAGTCCTTTAGTTACCATACAAACTTCAAAAAGTCCTCCATCTTTAAGGGCAGTAGCAAAAAATTCCTGGTAGGCCTTAGCAAAAAAGTTTCTTGAATTGTTTTTCTTAAGGGCTACCAGTACTTAGTAGACTACAGCTTGAGGAACAAAAAATTTGTAAATGCAATGTCAGTTTCTATCTAAAAGATAGTGAGAACATACATGGATCTGTGAATTCTCTCTGCATGGCACAGACCTGGAAAGCATATAGCACTATATAGAAATTATATTTTTGGCATTGCCTCTTGACAATGACAATTTAAATGCTTAAGCTTTAGTTCAGAATTTGTAAACATAATTTGATTCTGTACTCACTGAAGCCAAATCCTACAGTAGCAGATGGGTACAGGATGGAGCCAGAAAATCTAAGAGATTAATCAGATGTTGACACGTATATGTCTTAATCAAATTAAGTCCTGCAGTTTTTTATGATGGCGCACAAGCTTTCATAGCCTATGTTCATTTAACAATAGAATTTCATAGTTGAGAATTTTGGTTTTTATACCCAGGGAGGTGGTCTATGCACAGAAATTCTAGGTGGGCTTTTGTGTGGATCAGTATTTGCTTTGAGGGTCCTGTCTGCCTAAGTGATTAGTTTGGCTTCACTGTTGAAGGTTTCTGAATTCTGTATTTCTGAGCTGTATCAACCACAGTGGGTTCAAATGAGTTTGCTCTGCCTGGAGACATGCCACCCTCAGCTACACAGTAGCTACATCATGCAAAGGCAGGATTCAGCAGAGGCATGAAGTACACCAAAAAACAAAACCTACTGGCCTGGAAAACCCTCCAAGAAGTTGCCTGATGGACCATCTAAATTCTTGCATGCTGTTACGCATTTATTCCTTGGTCAATGTCATAACACACATATCCAGAGTATTGTTGACTCTGGAACGTGCAAGAGTAAGGGACTCATCCTAAATCTATATTTCTTAAAAAACTTCTGTCATTCAAAAAAAAATTTATAATTTTCATAGAATTCAGAAGAAAGAATTGACAACAGAACTGGAAAATTTACCTGAAAAATTAGTCTCCAGGAGCCCAGACTGTTTAACTTTTCCAAAAAAAAAGATGAAGTGCCTCGCTGATAGCCTGTACACATCCAGATTACAGAGCCTTCTTTCCAGAAGAAAAGATTAAATAATTTCCAAAGTAGGAATTTGTTGCTGGTCAAACTCAGAAGTAAGAAACTTAGATCATTAAAACAGTGGAGCAGTTTACTGAGATTTTTGAGAGATTGTCTATGATGGGATTTTTACAAACATGAACTTCTTTTTAAAAAAATAATGCATAGGCATAGGTCTAATATGAATAAATTTAGGCCAGCCTTGTGTTACAGTACAGCCTGTAGGACATTGGACTAGAAGACTCTAAAATATTATCATTAAATGTAATAATTGACACATAATTTTCAGGATAAAAAATTGCTTTAAAAAGTTATGAAAAATATTGCAAGTAGCCAGTGCTATCTCTGAATTAGGTACTTCAAAGGTAGCAGTTAAAAAGAAGAAACTGAAAGATGCATATTTTTTAAAAGTAGTCCCATCTCTCCAAGAATGTGGGCCTAATAAAACAAATAAATAACGAGAGTAAACTGCTTCTTAAGGTAAGAGTATTTGACTTGGGTTATGATCTGTACCTGTATTTGGAAGTTGAATCAGATGCCAAGTCAGGTTGTAATAATGAGATCTTCAGAGCAGCAGTGAGAGATCTCTTGACAAAAAGGTTTTGAGATACAGTCTCAAATG